GGAAGGCTGGGCATACTCAGTAGGGAAGTACAGTACTCAGGAAGGCAGTGTATATTCAGGAAAGCAGTGCAGTACTCAGGAAGGCCAGGCATAGTCAGGAAGGCAGTGCATAGTCAGGAAGGCAGCGCATACTCAGGAAGGCAGTGCGTACTCAGGAAGGCAGTGCGTACTCAGGAAGGCAGTGCAGTACTCAGGAAGGCTGGGCATACTCAGTAGGGTAGTACAGTACTCAGGAAGGCTGGGCATACTCAGGAAGGCAGTGCAGTACTCAGGAAGGCAGTGCATACTCAGGAAGGCCAGGCATAGTCAGGAGGGCAGTGCGGTACTCAGGAAGGCAGTGCATACTTAGGAAGGCCGGGCATACTCAGGAAGGCAGTGCATACTCAGGAAGTCAGTGCATACTCAGGAAGGCAGTGCATACTTAGGAAGGCCGGGCATATTCAGGAAGGCAGTGCATACTCAGGAAGTCAGTGCATACTCAGGAAGGCCGTGCATACTTAGGAAGGCCGGGCATACTCAGTAATGTGGGGCATTGTAGGCCCCTCTTTGCTGAGGCAGCTGTAAAGCAGGCTAAGGTTCAATTAGGCAGCACCTCAGAGTTGCACTGAGGAAGGCAGCCTCTGAGAGATGCTCCAGGAATGAACGGGTCTCCCTCAGTCAAATACGTTTGGGGAATCTGCCATGCCATAATTTCTGGCTGGAGAGCCACATTGCACATTAGCATATTTGACTAGGACAGAGCTCAGTAAAGAAACCCACTTGATTTTTTTTTTTTTTTTGGTCTAACCCAGACTTCCCAAGTTTAATGGATCATAGATTTTATTTAAGTCCTATTAATAATCCCACCAATCTTGTGTTGGGCAGGCCTGCATTCTCTGGGGAAGTCATGGTCCAAATACAGATTTCCATCATGTGTATAGGTGTGCTAGCAACCGGATTCAAGCTTTTGCAGTGTCTAGCTTGGTAACTACATGCTAGTGTTTGTGCTTCTAATTGACTTATTGGGTTTTTTGTTTGTTTCTGTTCTCATTTATCCTCATAAGAATAGTGATGGTCCTGCTTTCATTAGGATCTGTGGACCATGGACAGTTCTTGTCATTTCCTGAAGTCACGCTGTCACTTCCGGAAGGCAGCTGGTGCTTTGCTAAGCCTCCCGTGCTGGGCAGTACTTCCATCCTCAAAGAGATGCCCTGCTTAAGCCGGCAACTGGCCAGGGTCCAGGGAACAAAGCAAAAGCACAGTATGTGAATTTGCTGTGTTTCATCAGTTTTATCTTCAGCATTTAAAAATATGTATATATACTGTATATATTTCAATAATAAGTATATTTTATTTCTAGGAATTCTTGGTTTTTTAATAATGAGCCAAATTAGTAAATTATTTATAATCATTTCTAAAAAATATTGTGTACTAGTCACATGGCACTTGGAATCCTCGAATCCCTGAATTAATTCCAATGGAGCAAAACTTGGCAAGAATCAGGATTGACTGTATTAGCAATAATGAATGTCTACTTTGACATACATCATTTTTAAAAGGCCCCCGGACACAAGACATCTGAACAGTCACTAACCCAGTGGTGTGTGTTACTCAGACATCATCATGAATATTTCTGTGAGGTCATGATGTATTTGAACATTCTGGAAGCTAATAAGAGCTGTGAGTATACGCCATATAAGAATTCTCTGGTACCTGTGGTTGGGCAGTGTGTTCAATTCCTCTTTGAGATGCTTGAACAAGTCTAAGTTTTGGGGCAGGTGAATGATGCTTTAACCACATAGTGCAACCTCTCCCTAGCCTATGCTGGTGTCAGAGTCAGCCAGGAAGGCTGCTAAAGACCAGGGCATATCCTCTGGCCACACCGTCTCCTCAGGACAAGTGCCCTCTTCAGCCACCGTGACCTTGGAAGACCCAGGGTTGTGTATCCCAAACCATAACACGGGCCAGTTTTTGCCAGGGTTGAATTTAAAAGCAACGAATTGAAGCTTTTACGGAGATAGTCAAGACCACAAGCCACAGTGCAGATTGAAAATGGTGACATGGAGTCTGATATCACCGTGATGCGGTGTGAGAGAATGCGTCGCAGGTGCATTATCTCATTGAATTCTCAAATCAGCCTTATGAGGTAGGTGTCTGTAGATGACAAAACAGAGCCTTAGGAGACCAACGAACTTTCCTCAAGGCCCGGAGCTGGGGAGGGGTGCAGTGACAGTAGGGGTCAGACACAGGTGGAATGCATCTCATTGCCGCTCTTCCTAAAGTGCCTTCAAGGTCTTTCTGAGACCTCGAGCCAGGGAGGTTATTTGCTCACTTAAGAACACATGGTCACCTTGGGGATCCTGCTAGGGAAACCTCAGCTTCCCACGCCCCCAGCTAAGCCTCACTATGCTGCAGCCATGAACTCTAGCTCAGCTCAGACAGGTTCCAACAGACCGACCCCGCTCTGCACTCCCCCTCCCCCATGTCCTAACCAACCATTCGTTCTCAGTCCACCACGAAAGCCACGCCAGGAACAACCACCTACTGCCTGGTAATGGGCAGATTTTCTTGAAAACCCCCATTCAACTGGTATTTTTCAGAAAGCATTCGAGAAAGCAACATTGTGCCCCTTAGCCAACGCCTTCTTGTATAAGTGATTCAGTACTTTTATTTTTAATATCCTCACCTTATCTGATCTTTGGATTTTGTCATATAATTTATTGCTTCATAAATTTCATCTTTTTGTTATAGGATGATTGATTGTACAGTTACCTCACACAAAACATTTCTAATAAAGCAATGCTCTAAAGTGTGTATGTGTTTACTTTCAGTTTCAACAAATCAGAAAACCATGGAATTTTCTATTCCAGACTCCTTGATTGAGGAAATTGAAAATAATCTTACCACTAAGGTGGGGAACAAGACAAGGGTGCCCACTTGAAATATGTTACTGGAGATCCTGGCTAATTCAGTGAGGCAAGAAAAACAAATGAGGGGAAGAGATACAACATGAATTTTTACAGGTGACATAATTATAAACTAAGCAAATTAACTGAAACATTTTTACACAGTTAGTACAGTTAACATATCAAAATCAATGGGCTTTGCACATACAAACAACGATCACAAGATAAAGTATAAAGAAAATCCACATTCTTAACAGGAACAAAAATAAAGAGAAAACAGCTAGGAATAAAATAAAATAAGAAATGTGGAAGTCTTAGATGAAGGAAATTTGAAGATGAAGGACACGAGAAGAACTGAATACACAAACACATTAAGCTTTTGGGTAGGAAGTTATCAGAAATTGCAAAAATCTCTGTAAATTAGTTCATCAATATTATCTGATCTCAGCTGAGTCAGAGATGTCTAGATACCCCCAATATCCACTCTGCTCCATCCCTTCTAGCAGTTCCTCATCTAGGTACTTGGGCTTCAGATATGCTTTAGACCTACGCAGAATGGATTACACTGTTAAATGGATAAACCAAGGAGGCCATTAGACTGATGTGTCCAGGGTGCCACGGAGGCGACGTAGACCAAAATCTAGGCCTGAAAATGCTTCAAGGTTATGACATTGAAACCTGAGGACAACTAAGCATGAAACTAGAACTTTAAGCTACTTTTCCATCTTTCTTTTTTTTGGAGAGGGAGGGGAGGAGGAGCAGAGGGAGAAGGAGAGAGAGAGAATCTTAAGCAGGCTCCACACCCAGTGTGGGGCTCTCTGGGCTTGCAGGGATCAAGGGGGGCTCCATCTCATGACCCTGAGATCATGACTTGAGCTGAAATCAAGAGTCTGATGCTTAACTGACTGAGCCACCCAGGCGCCCTCTATAAAAGTCTCTCCCAGAGAGCCCATCAGTGAAATCCTTCTACTTACCATGTCCAGTCTAGGGCTGCTTGATTTGAACTGATTTTTGCTCAAACTCTTAAAATGTTTTAATATGCCTCAGTTTATTTATTTAACAGTAGGACTGTGTGTGAGGGCAGCAATAAGAAACAACCTAATTTTGAACCAATAGTAAACTGTTTAAATAAATTAAGATAAATCAGCTCTATGGAATACTTTGAAGTTGCTTAAAAAAAACTCTCTTTTTAAAAGATTTTATATATATATTTATTTATTTATTTGAGAGAGAAAGAAAGAGAGAGAGGGGGAGAGAAAGAGCGAGAGTGTGAGCAGGGGGAGGGGCAGAGGGACAAGCAGACTCCCCACTGAGCACGGAGCCTGACACGGGGCTCCATCCCATGGCTCTGAGATCATGACCTGAGCCGAAATGAAGAGTTAGATGCTTAACTCGCTGAGCTACCCAGGCGCCCCCCCACAAAATCTTTCTGTGTGCATATGTTTGTATCTGCAGAAATACCACTGGAAAGGGACCCAGGCAACTTAGGGAAAAGGGATGGCGAGGAGACTTAATGTTTCTTGTATACCGCTATTCATTAAAAATTTGTGTACCACACGGTTGTATTTACTTATTTGAAAAATAAAAATAATTTCTTTAAGAAAAACACCATAAATCATGGAGACTGAGTGCAGGGCCCTAAGGGAGAGCAGGGCACACAGGCCCAGGTCTCCCTGCTCCCAGGTCTCCCTGCTGCCGATGCAAGATTCATCCCCTGTTTAAAACTCACCATGGTGCTGGAGAGATGGTGCCACATATTGGTAATAAGAAGACAACAATGACATATGATCAGATGATTGGAAGGAGGAGTAATTGCCTTGATCATTGTAATTATTATCATTTTAAAGACAAGAGATGAATTTTATTTTGGCACTTTCTTGAACAACTATCTATGGTCAGTGATTTGTTACCAAAATTTCCACCCCATCTGGGACCCCAGTTCTCATCCTGGGTTAGGGAGTTCGGTAAAGCCTCCTTCCTCCGAACACTAGACCAAAGAGCCCCGCGGGCTGGTTGTGTGCGCAGAGTGGGGAGTGGGGAAACACAGTCACATCTGTCCCCCACTGTGCCTTTGGGGAACCTGCTCACGCGATCAGCGTTTTGCTTAAATAGGGATGCTTTTAAGTATAAAACACAGTCATACTGTAAAGGATGCTATGACAGACACCACGGTGAAGGACAGTCTGGAGAATACGTTTACTTCCTCTCATTATTCCAGTAGCACAAAAGAACTTCTTGACACTACAGCTCCCTCTTCCAAGACTTTGAAAAGCATCTGCTAGAAACAAAGCTCATGTCTATCGCCCCTCCCAGTGTGTATGTATGTGTTCACTCCCGAAACACTTACTGAACTCCTACTACAAAACTTGTTCTTCCTATAAACGGATGAATTTACAACTACACAGGTTAAAAATGTTAGTGAACATCATCCAGCAAGTATTGAAAATGGGTTGATTTGTAGGACCCTTGGTTTTAAATCTACGTAAATAAATGATCAGACCACACACACACACACACACACACACACACACAGACAAGAGCAGGTCAGCTAATATTGAACAACAGTTATTTATGATTTTCTGTTTCCTGTATGACTTTTATTTGTAAAAACAACATTTAGAAGAAATTATTTAAAAAGATTCATGCATAACCCATTTTCTTCATTTTTTTCCAATCTATGTCCATAAAAAACACCTTTCCCCAAACTATAGCCAGCATATTTTTTATCCCGCTTTTTCTGTTTACTCTTCTGGTACTTCCCATCTTGCTACATAATCCTTATAGTCATTGTATTTATTTTATTGCTGTGTAATAGTCTCTCACACCGATCTACCATAACTTAGATATTCCTGTGTAACTGGGCACTAAATCTTCACAATATTTCGCTGTCATAGACAAGGTTGCAATGATATCTTCATGCATATACCTTTTTCTTGCCTTCGAATGATGCCCGTCAGAAAAATTCCCAGGAGTGAGGAGACAAGAAAAGAATGAGCGCCATACTTGAAAAAGTTTGCCCTGGGGCGTGAACTCGGGATGCTAAGCAGCCCAGCAAGCAGGTAGTTCTGGGAATTCCCAACCCGGTATTGATGGGCTTCGTTGATTTTGTGGTGTTCCCTCTCGTCAGGAATGTGTCCACAATAACCACATCAGGCAGATCGCAGTTGGACAATCCCTACCATTTAAAATGAGCAGTGTTATATAGTACCCAGTGCTCATTATATAAGACCGATTAACCACTGAACTCTACCTCTGAAACAAATAATACATTGTATGTGAATTAATTGAATTTAAATTAAAAATAAAAAAGCAAAAAATGAGCAGTGTTGACTCTGTCTGCAGCTAGGTGTCATTGACCTTTTTCCATACTGCTCCCTTTGGTCTAAGCCCGTGCAAGGACGTTTCAGAAATAAAGCGACATATACAGGCATTTAAAAAGGGGGAGAATTTCTAGCATGGGGAGTGAGCAGAAGCAACCGAAGGGAGAACACCACCCAGTCCAGAACACTGTGCCCAACCTGAAGTACCTCCTGGGATGTACTGGGCTTCGTGTGGCGGTGGTGGTTGTTAGTGTGAAAAAAGAGTGTCTCCGATTTGTGGCTCTGGCCACCCTCCCTCCCCCCAGCCCCCCACTCCCGTGGTGCTGTCCGACGCTCAGGAGAACATGACACGTTGAACGAGAAGGTGCTTTGGATAACTTCTACTTCATCCACGCAGCGTTTTTTCCTAAAGCATCCTCCCCCAAATGTAGCATCCTGTGTCAGCCTGAGCTTGGCTTTGGTTGATCTTAGCCAATGCACTTCCTCCCCAGCCTGGCTCCCCACCCATCTCTTGTCCTTGGCCCCCGAGCCCCATGAGAATGCAGATCCCGAGTTTGGTCTCCTTCCCAAAGGCGCCGTTCAGTACCAGTCCCCTTGTTTCCCCGGTCACTTTTACCTACGCCCAACGTCAGTGGCCTCTCGTCCTCATTTCATCAGTACTTCCCACTTGGTGCTTTTATTATCTCAGTCTCTTTCTCTTACTTCCTTTATTTGCATTTCCTCTTTAGAAGGGAAAGGAAAAGCGGCAGTTTCTGATGACTTGAGAGTTCGGGGTGAACTCCCCGTGATTCTAAAGCATCCTCTTCATTGACTAACATCGAAGCCGGCAGGCATTCAGCTCTGCATTGGTGGGGGGCTCCAGCTCTCAGCAGGACGGTAACGTCTGTAACAGCCACAAAGCTGGGGACACTGGGCACAGACACTTTGCTCGGCTTTCCTGGAAGCTGATCAGTCAATAAAAGCCGGGCGCCCCAGTCTCTCTTCACCAGGATGGAGGTGTCTGATGCTTTGTGTGGGCCCAGAGAGTTCTGTCCTTTACAAGTAGAATGAATAAGAACTGCTTAACCGAGGAAGCAGAGCGCAGGAGAGAAGTTGATAATGAACACTGGGCAAAGGCAATCGTACTACGAGGAAGACGCGTAAGAAAATGAAGGTGACAGGAATGCGGTGCACTCTTACAAACGTGGGGAGAGACGGTAAGAAAGCATACGTACGAGGCGGGAGGAAGGCAAACGACACGTTGCAGCCTATGAGAAAAAAAAGACAATTAAAAAGCCCTTTGTGCAGTGGCATGGACCACACAGTGCACAGAAGACCATCTCTGATGTACTGCTTTGCAGCCAAATTTGGAAACGCTGAGGGCATGTGCCAAGTGCTGCCTCGTTAAGTGCGGTTTTGACTTTTAAGGGCAAGTGTGCAAAGGCGTCTCTTCCTGGCCCCAGGAGCTGGTAATTACCAGGGAGACGCTTAACTCCGAAAGGCTGGAACTGAGGAAGGGCATCTGGATATTTTATGCCAGGAAGATCCTGTATCCTTTTAC